TTCCCATCCCCAAGGCATCCCCAATTCTTCCCTTAGGCCCTTCCACTCTGGAGGCTTCACCTCTCACTCTCCTCACACACCCCTTCCCTCCTTGTCCGCCCTGAACCTGTTTCCACAGCCAGTCTCCTTCCTCAGTTAGTTTGTAGAAGGGGCAGCAGAGATACTCCAAGCCTTTCAGGCACCGAAGAGGGAGAAAAACATCTTTTGGGGGTCAGAGGAAGTGGCTGTAGAGGCACAAGGGGAAGTAGAGAAAGGGATAGGGTCAAGTGGACAGGGCAGAAGATGGTAACCCAACCCTAGGGAGGGGTTGCTGCAGCCATCAACAAGGGATTTAGTGTCCAGGCCCTGGTAAGCAAAGCCAGGACTGCCTGTCTCTCCCCCCAAACACTCCCCCCTCCCATCGCTTTAACCCAGCCTCTGGGAACACAGCTTTCAGGGCCCCCCATCTCTGACAGGGAATCCCCCCCCCCCCGGGAAAATGGGATACCCAGGCAGCTAGGTAACCCAAGAGGCTGCAGAATGTGCTGATGGCAGAGGGGGAGGGGTGAATGTTTCAGGATAGGGGTAGGGGTCCCCCAAGACATTCCCTGCTGATCTCTTAACCTAAGGGGTTGGTATGGCGGCCTTAGAGTCTATTCCAGCTCCGCTGGTATCGGGCTTATGAAGCATTATCCGGGAAGGGGCCTGGGAAGCTGGATGAATGAGAGGCTCCAAGGCAGGGCAAGGGCCAGGTGTAGGGGAAATAAGGACAAAACAGCCAGGGGCAGGAAAGGCAGAGGCAGAGCTGCAGGGCTGGGGGAAGTCCGAGGAGCAGTGGGGAAAGGGGCAGCGGAGAGCTGGCCTGCGGCAGCCGGGGTGCGGGAGCCGGCCCTGGGTGCAAAGCCGTAAGTTGTTGCTGGGCGGCTGGCCATGGCGTCAGCTTCCTCCGAGAAGCAGCTGCTCCAAGCCAACCCCCCACCCCTGCTACAGGGTGGTGGCATCTTTTGGTCACCACCAAGGCAGCTGCTGGGGGAGCAAAATGGAGGGTACCATGGGGTAAGAGCAGGGGGCAGGAAGGAGGGCAGAGAGAGGAGGTTCATGAAGAGTAATGGTGAGAAGGTTGGCGAGGGGACGGAGTCGGGAGACCCTGGGCTCAAGTCCTTCCTCTGCCTAGGCCTCAGTTTCCTGAGATGAACGGTGAGGAACAAGGGCCACTGAAAGGGTTCTTAAGGCTGCTTCTGGCTCTGAGTGGAGAAGGACCTCAGGGGCTAGTGGGGCAAAAAGGAAAGGAGAGCCCTCTGTTTTGGGAAGTGGAGGCGACTAGCTGGATGGAGTTTCAGGAGTTAGCCCCCAGACTCATCCCTTTGTCTGCCAGTATTTGGGGGAGGGGCCGCTTCCTGGGTGAGTTGAGGACACTGTGCTGTCCCTCCCTCTTCTTACAGCTCCAACAAACCCCTCCCCTGACCCAGAGTCCTGCTGTGACCTGGGGGGAGAGGAAGGAACTCCATGAGGTGTGAATGTTGGGGTGACATCAACAGGTGACATCACCTGACCCCACACTGCTCCATCTGCCCCAGCACCCACTTTCTCAGGCCAGAGTCAGGCTCAGCATCTGACAAGCCTTTAGCGCTGGCTGGCTTGTCCCTACCACCACCTGGATGAGTGACAGGGGCCACCGTCTTAAAGGAGCAGGAATGCCCAAACATGGAGAAAGGGGATAAGAAAGGAGAGATGGGCCGCTTCAAGGGAGTCCGGAGCATAAGTCTGAGGAAGGGAGGCTTTACAGGGCATTCCTGCCAACAGGGCCCTTTAAGGCTATTCATTTCTGCCCCCCCCCCCACTTCCCTGCCAGAAGGGGAAACTGAAGCCAGAGAGGGAAAGCCACCAGCCAGGAGCTGCAGAGGCATCGTCAGGGAGGCTGGGCGTGTGGACTGGGATGGCTGAGCAATGAGGTGCTCTCCAGGCCTTCCCACTGGGGGTCTCCAAGCCTAACACATCCAGCTTTGGAAGGTGTTCTTCCTCTCTCATCTGAGGGCTGATGCTGAAGCTGGGAGGGTGGTGGAGGCCTAGGTTCCAAAGGACATAGACACAGTCTGCACTCTGGGCCCATTTCTGACCACTTCTGAGCTTGGTTTAATTGATCATCTGTAGTCAGGCTTAAAGGGCCCCTCCAGCCAAGATACGCAAGCCTCTGGGGTATCCTGGGAAGGCCAGTCCCTGAAAGTTGGCAGGGCTGTGGCGGGGACGGACCGAGAGCACCAGTTGCTTCTAGCTTAGGAGAGGATCAGGTCTGGCCTACCCTGGGGGGCAAGGCTCACCCACCATCCCTCCTGAGAACACAGCACCCAGATCCCCAAACCACCCTCCCCGTTTCAAGGCCAGCTCTATCTCTAGTCTTCTGAGGCCAGCGTTTGGGGGAGCCCCAGAGATTAGATAAAACAGAGGGAGCCAGCAGCCTTCCTCCGCTAGCCCCCAGACTGGGTGGCCTATGAGCCCAGCTGTCTCCTGTCCATCTCCCGACAGGACGCAAGGCCCAGAATAGCAAGGTCATGAGCGTGGGTAGGGCCTCCTGGAGGTGGGGGCACAGACTGAGGGGCGTGAGGGAGTGTAGGTTCCTCTCGAGGGGCAGGATGCTAAGAGGCAGGGTTGGATGCGGGTGGAGAGGGGAGAGAGCCAAGCAGGAGAGGTGGGACCCTTCAGACCCTGGCCCCATCATGTTGGCACCTGCCAATGTCCCCACCCCACCCCACCCCACCGCTGAGCTGGGAAGCCCAGGGTTTTGACGCCTCTATGGGGGTCACAGCCATAGTTCAGTAAGAACAATTAAAGAGCAGAGCTTATATGTGTAACAGGGAGCAATGGAGGGGGGGTGTTGCAAACTCAGTGCCCACAGGGCAGGCACGTGGGTGAAGCGTGCTGGCGGAGATGCAGAGGACCCTACGTAGCTGGATCTCCTGATTTCAAGAGAAGCCACTTAGCCAAACTTTCATGTGAAATTAAAATGGAAACATTATTATTGTGGCCAAACAGATCATGTGGGTAGCTCCTGTGTAGATGAAAGCGTGTATTTTATAGATGAGGATGCTGAGGCCTGGAGTGGCTACTGGACCTAGTCACCCAGCAAGTGAGAGGTACAGCTCACACTGGAGGACAGTGCTGTCATCCATACTCCTGCTTCCCAGTCTGACTCCAAGAACGACAGTCAGCCTGCCCTGGGGCCCTCTGCACCCAGACTCTGAGGCTGCCTCGTTAAAACCCTCCCAACACTGGGAGAACAGGGTGGAATAAAACTCAAAATCATATGAAAAAGACCAGGTTTGCACCTCTGACAGAATCTGGTGAGACTCCTGAGCCTATGGCCACTAGTTACCCCTCAGGTCTGGAATTGAACTCACGCCTGCCTGTGGCTTCCAGGAACTCTGGTACCATAGTGCCTAAGGCACTTGACTGCTGACCAGAAGGCTGGCAGTTCAAACCCACCAGCCACTCCTTGGACAGAAGGTTGGGCAATCTACTTCTGTAGTGATACTGCCTCAGAAACCCAAGGAGAGGTCGCTATGAGTTGGGTCTGACTCGATGACATATAACAACCACCTGTAGCTTCCAGCCAAACAACAGAGAGGAGTATGGGGTGAACATTTACATCAGGTAGATAAGACTCCTTGGAACGCTCAATCATTGGAGAGCAGAAGAGCAATGTTTAAACAGGGAGACAGCTGGGTGTGTGGGGAGTCAGTGCCTGGAAGGGAAGGACACAGGGAAGAAGTAACTACAGAGAGGAGGTGAGAAGAGAGCTGTTTCACTGTGGGGAATTCCAGTCAACGTCATTAAACACAATGTGTATGAACTGCTGTATAGAAAATGAATTTGTTCTGTAAACTTTCACCCAAATCACACACACACAAAAGATTCCTGAAAAAAAAAACCCAAAAAACTCCTCCCAACAGTGCCACCATGCCCATCCCTGTTCCCTCCGTAGGGCAGGAAGTCTCAAGAACTGAGCGCGAGAAGAGAAGGGCCCTTGGAGATGGTCAATCCTGCTGTTTGTTCTCTCCCATTAAGGCACGTGGTGGCTGGAGACCCTGGGATACACTATACAGCCCTGAGCATAAGCAACGTGCCAGCAAACAGCACAGCGCCACCGGAAAGCAAAGGGCTGGATAGTGCCAGGGCTACTCAGCTCTGGAGCTCACAACATTGGGGGAGCAGCCTCCTGACCCCCCGTCCCAGTTCCCACTACAAACACTGGCCACAGCTTTCAGGACAGAACTGAGATCAACCCTTTATTTATGCTTCTCCATTTTGTTTAAAACAACAACAACAACATCTTTAATGTAACTGATGGCTCCTCCCCCTGCCCGGGGCTGCTGCTGTTGCTTCAGTCCCTGTGACTGACTCCCGCGCTCCACGGGGCTTCCCAAGGCTGTGTGACCGTTCAGAAGTAGATCGCCAGGCCTGACTTCTGGGTTCGAACTGCTAACCTTTTGGCTAGGAGTCAGGCGCTTAACCACTGGTGCCACTGGATGGTAGTTAAGGGGGGAAATGGCCCCCAGGGGTGGGGCTGACCATGAGAGTCTCTCAGGGAGGTAACGGAGCCCAAATCTCCTGCCCAGGGGAGGGGCCACCTGTAGTGTATGAACAGGGAGTTAACAGGCTCTTAGGCCTCTTCTTGTACCAACATATACGCCCTTGGCTGACAAGGTGCAGGAAGCATGTGGGGGGAAAGTGATTCCTACCTCTTTTCTGTGTCCCTATCCAGCCCCAAACGCAAAACTGAGGGCTGGAGAGTCAGAAGAGTGGGGACAGGGTGGGGCAGGGTGTCACACGAAGGAATACTGGTTATTAATGGCTCTGGGATGGCCCCCTTCTCCGTCGCCCCCTAGTGGTAACTGCTGGAGCTGCACCATCACGTTCCCACCAGATGCAGCGCTTCTCTGGGCCTCTGGGCCTGGTCCTACGGCCTCTTCCAGTTCAACCATGGGGACCAGCTCAACCACGGGGACCAGCTCTTCCTGGACCCCTCCACTGCCCGCTTTCTCTTTCTCTTTCCTCTCTTTGGCTGCTGGGGCTGTTGCTGCCGCCACTTCTGGCGCCCCCGACGCCTCTTCTGCCCCAGGATGTGGGGGATCTGTCCATGAAGGGGGATCAGAGGGCTGGGGTGGGTCACGGGAGGTGTTCGATTCTGGACAGGAAGGGGAAGAAGACAGACTGATTGTGGAGGGAGGCGAGCTCCTGTAGTGGCCTCCCCTTCACTCATCGCCCCAGGAGCCGTGTGCTATCTCCCCCACACCCCATCTCCTTAGCAACCCCCCTCCATGGGAGATGGATCATGGACGGTGGTGAGAGGAGGACCACACTTACACACAGTCACTCGCTCCGAAGGGCATGAGGGTGGAGGAGGCATCGGGGTGGCATCCGTCTGCCTCGCACACCCCCGCATGGCTCCCGGCCTGCTCCCGGCCTGGGGGGGGGCAACGGGGGGGCAGATGGGACATCGGGGCGGGGAAAAGGGAGAAATCAGACAGGGACATGAGACATCAGGGGAGGAGGGGGACGGGTCAGACTGAACAATCCTTGGGAAGAGCGGCCCAAGGCAAGGTTGTGACGAAGGGCAGACACGGCTGGGAGGGTGGGTCTAGGAGGCAGTCGGATGATGGAACGAGGAGTCCGATGGAGTCCGATGGAATGCGAATGTACCAGCCCAGCTCTCAACTCCCGCCCGCCCGGCTCCAGGCTCCGCGAGAAGCCCTCGGCCTCCCTGCACCCTACAGGAACCTCCTCTACCCTGCTCTCCCCTGGCAAAGCCTCTCCGCCTCACAGCCCCCCGCCCCAGCTTTCTGGCACACACACCTCACTTCTTGGGTGCACGGGCACCTCCTCCCCTGCAGACCTGCTCTGCTCACCCTGCTGCCGCTGGGAGGATACCACATAGCTGACAAGGACAACGTCACTGGAGCCTCCAGACTCCAGAGGGATGGGGTGCACCTGGAAATGCTCGAGCATATCGAAAATGGACTGGAACCACAGGTGCTGGACCCGGCACTGGCCCTCCTCGTTCAGCGACAGACGCAGGTGCTGAGGGCGGGATGACAAGGTGAAGCGGAGCCGAGGCCCGGCCAAGTGCAGAGCCGGTAGCACCCGCCCTCGACCCCCAGCTCTCTGCATGCAGCAGGGCCTCTGCCCCATCACTCACCTTGGCCTTGCCCTGGAAGTTGAAAGTGAGGACGTATTCACCCCGCCTCGTTTCACTCTGCCGTACCAGGAACACACCATGGGAGCCAGTACCTCCTGCCAGCACTAACTGGGCAGCCTTGAGTCGAGAGAGCGTCCCATGGAACCAAGGATATCCCGAGAGGGGCTGGTCCCCCTCACCCCCCTCCGGCTCCCCCTGGAACAGGAACGACCCTTCAGGAAGGAGAGAGGGAGGGAAACCGGGGGTCAGGGAAGCCTTCCCCATCGTGGGAGAACAAAGACCTTGCTCCCCACTCAAGGTGCCTCGTCCCCTCAAGTGACATGTCCCTTCTCCTGGGTCTGATCCCTCAGGACCCATCCATCGACAGGGGGTTCAAGAAGGCAGGCGACCAGGCTGGGAGGTGGACACACACTCACACCTCTGGTACCTGTGGCTGTTTCCGGAGTGTCCAGGGGAGGGTAAGGGGCTGAGAGGGGATGAACTGATCCTGGTGGGGGTCCCTCTTCAATGGGGATGCGGGGGGGCAGCTCTGGGGGGAGTAGCTCCATGGAGTCAAAATGGGAGGCGGCAATGGAGGCAGAACTGGGGGAGATGGATGCTGAGGGGCGGTCTGAGAGGCCCCCATACGCCCCTGGAAAATAAAAAGAGGGCAAAGTGGAGAAGTCAAAGACCTGGGAGGACTGGTCTACCTGCCCGTCTCTCTCTCCCCCAGCCACTCTCTCCAGCGGGCCCTGGGAGTGAGATGCCAAGATGCCAAGGACTCCTCCCGGAGGCCCTGTGCACTGCTGAGGCCTGCAGTTACTGCAGGGGTTCCAGAATCCAGATGTGCCTGTGTATTTTCTACCTCAATGGCTGAAATGACAGCTATTATGGCAAAGTTGTGGGGGGGGGGGCTCACTATCATTTTAACATTTAAAAGGGTCGTTTATTTGGCTTACGGGACAAAGTCACCAACTCAAAGAGGCATCAAAGATCCTTCTTCCATTAATGCCCCCAACCTAGCTCCCCTGGTTTTATCTCAGTTTACATATCCTCCACTTTAATCCAACATCCTACCCAATTTTCCCAAACAGCCCGGGCTTTCCTACCTCAGGCCTCTGCTCTCACCATCTGCCTCCCTTCAAGCTAAGTTCCTTTCTCTCGCCCTCCCATGGCCCCGTCTAGCCCACTTCCCCGTCCTCTTCCCCTGCAAGCTCCCAAGGTGCTTGCTGCCTGCGCTGCTCACAGGACACGAGTGCAGGCTCCTCCTCAGGAAATGCTTTTGACGGGGGATGTCTGTGCACGTGTGGACGGCCAGGAGCACATCTCAGGCACCTCCAGCTTCCCCACCCTGCCCAGTGCCAGGCCTGGACTAGGACTTTTGTGAATGTCCGTCGGGCAGCAAGCCTAAGCCTACATGAATGCTATACACCATCAGTGCCCAGAAGGCCTCAGAGTGGACTGAAGTGAGTGCGGAATCAGGATCAGGAAGTGGTACTGTAGCCCATCTCTGTAAGTGACACTCAGGTGGCCTTGATCAGCCACATTACCTCCCTGGGTCCCTGCGGCTTAAGAAACGAGGGGGTTCGAGCTGATGCCTTGTAAGGTCCATTCTGGGTCTGAGATGCTATGGTTCACTGTGAAGCTGAAGCCCAGAATGGAGGGGCAGTGGAAGCCACGTCAGGAAAGCTGAGTGGCACTAGCCAGGGAGGCCCATGCCTTTGTGTGTCTACACACCAGAATAGGATACATATGCATGTTTGGTTTGGCCAAATAGTAGAGAGAATCAAGAGGAATTTAGGCACCAACGTTAGCATGGAGATGCAGAGTCAGGACAAAACTGCAGCATTTACAACGTGTTCTAGAAGCATGGAGAAGAGAAACGTTATCTCCAGCCACAGTGGTGGGCTGTCAAGATACTTTCATGGCAAAGATGAAGACTGGGCATGGAAGGGTGGATAGGAATTTGCTGGGGGCCTGTGGGGTGTTGGTGACAGTGACAGTTCTCAAGACAAACAGTGGCATGAGAGTGCCTGGTGCGCATAAGAGCAGAGACAAGCATGGGCGGTGTGTGAGAGCAGGACTGGAGTGTACCGCAGAGGCTAGAGAAGGGTCAGGTCTGACAGCAGAGGGTCTTGCCAGGCAGGTTCTGAGGATCAGAACCTGAGGCTCCGTCCTTACCCTGAGACAGGCGGTCGTTGCTCTCGCTGGGACCCAGCGGCAGGTCCTGGCTGGGCAGGCTCTCTGAGTGGCTCAGGCAGGGCGGCTCCAGGCTGTCTGTGTTCTCCCTCATCAGGAAGGAGCTTCCAGGGACCAGAGGGAGGGTCATGGGGCGGGGACTGGTAGCAGGGCAGGGACTGCAGAGACAGGCAGAATGCTACCGGGAGGCCAGTGGCATGGAGAGGGGCACAAGGCTGCCCCCCACCTCCCAGGTCCCCTCGAGACCCATCAGGCCCCTCACCCTGGGCTCAGGCATTCTTGGAGGTCAGACACCCAGGCCTTCACGCGTAGAGCATCAGCTGTCTCGAGGATATACTCTGAGGGCCCTTCCACCTATGGGCCAAGAGCGGGGCAAGAGGAGGGCCTCAGCCAGGGCAGGGGCAGGGGCAGGGAGGAGGCCCACAGGCCACTTCCAGGTCCTGAGGCCCTAATCTCCCCAAGTAGGAACAAAAACCTCTTCCCTCTTTTTCATTCACCCAGAAAAGCTGCAGCCCCAAGGATACACTCTCAAGGAGCTTAACACACACGCACCTCCTTCCACCGAGGTCCTTTACTTAAATGTGCTGAGCACTTTCTCCTCAACACATACGCTCCAGGGGGGTGGGGAGCTCAGAGCTCCTACCTTAACCACAAACGTGTTCTCCCGGTCCGGCATCTCCAGGGCTGTGGTTGTCCGGACATCCGTGATGGTTGAGCAGGGAATGCTGAGTCGGGGCCGAGATGCCTAGGTTAGAACAAGACCCAGATTTCGGGTGTGCAATGGCCATCACTCCCTTCCACTCCCCGAGACTCAGGTTTCCTTCCACACCCTGGAGAAGTCAGGCAGAAACACTGCTTTTCTCAGTCCCATCCACAGCCACTAACCCAGAGCCAGGAACTAGCTTTAAAAACAGAAAGCAAGCAAAGCCAGGTGTGGGCCGGTAGACCAGCAGCTCACTGCGGGCCTGAGTAACGAACGCCTGTGGCCGCCCGGTCACTTGCTCCCAAGGCACCCACCCTGCTCCAGGCCTCACCTTGGGTGGTACAAAGAACTCCAGGCGACTTCCTCCTCCTCCTCCTCCTTCGCTTCGCAGCAGCAGGCGACACTTTTGCCACTGAGGTTGCCCTCCTCCCCCCGAGGTAGGCCCGGCTGCCCCGCCTCCCCGGCCCACTCCAGCTGGGTCGGGGGCTGCTTCTTCAGCCCCCATGAAACTCAGCACCTCTTCCCTCTGCACTATCCCTGCACCATCCTTCAAGGTGCCCCCTCCCCGACTTAGTCTCAGCCTCTCAAAACGGTGAGTCCATCTTTCCCCAGGGGACGTTCCGTCACTGGCCAGTCCCCTACCAACGGTCCCAGCACCCCCAGACGAATTAGAGTTGCTGTTTCCACCTAAGACTGGGGGGCCTGATGAGGTCTCCAGGGGCCCAGCCGGGGAGGGCGGGTCAACGGTTCCCCGCCACTGCAGGATGCCACGGACCGAGCCTCGCACGGAGCGGCCCATGGAGCGGAGGGAGAAGCGTTTCTTGAGCTTCGGCTTCGAAGAGGTCGCAGAAGACGACGAGACTGAGGAAGGCATGGGGCAGGCCAGGTCCTCAGATGATCGAGAAGGTCCCAGCACGGCCAGGGGCCCGCCCACCCTGCAGCTGTCAAGGGACAGGTCATGTGGTGGGAGCTCCACTCCAGGACTCAAGGGAGCAAGGATGGGCGGTGAGAGGGAGCCAGAGGCCCGGGCCACCTCAGCTTCAAAGTGCTGCAGGAAGAGCTCGGCAAACCGGCGGGAGAAGGCAGCCTCAGCCCCAGGCCCTGCATACTGGGGATGGGAGGCCAGGTAGAGGCGGAAACGGCGGGCAAAATCCAGGGCAGCAGCCCGAGCGTGGGACTCGCAGAACTCCCGCCAACTCGGGGGAGGGGGTGGCGGCACCGGGGGCGGGGAGGGGGAAGCCCCATCCTCCTGGGAAGGGGCACCATTCATGATGGTCCCCAGGAGGTAGAGAGGGGGAGCCTATGGGGAGGGGCAGCAAAGAGGGAAGTGGCCGGAAGACACGGGGTGAGCGGCAGCAGCTGCAGAAGGAAGAGAGAGGCACATACAGTCACTGCTGGGGTGGGACCAGGGGGCCCGGCTGAGCCAGAACCTCCTTGCTCTGGTTTAGACTCCTCAGAGGGCACTGGGGAAGACAATTAACCTGTCTCCTCTTCCTTCCCAGACCCTCACACCCAAGTCCCAGTAAACCAGCTCCCCAATTCTAGCCTGCCTACACCTATCCAGCTGCCTTTTCAACCCACTTTCTCTGGCTTTGGTTTCAGGTGTCACGGAAGGCTCAAAGTCCCTTCCTCCAAAAAGGACGTGTTTTCAGATCACCCCCCCCCCCTGCTCTTTCAGCATTTATTACACGCTTCCCATTGCCTTACCTTGTATAAAGTTTTAATAACCTTACAAAAAATGAAAAGGGAGCCCTGAGGATGCAGTGGGTAAGCCTGGCTGCTAATCAAAAGGTCAGTGGTTCGAACCTACCAGTCGCTCTGCAGAAGAGACCTGGTGATCTGTTCCCATAAAGATTACAGCCTAGGACACCCTACAGGGAAGCTCTTCTCTGTCCTACAGGGTCGCTAGGAGTCAGAATCAAGTTGGTGGCACACAACCACATTACAGATGAGGAAACTGAAGCTAAGAAAAGCTTCAGAATTCCTAGTCTACTGTCTTTCCCACGCCGTAGTCCTCGTCCCCAGGGACTGACTGCCCTAGCTCAGGGGCCCCGGAGGGGAGCTAGGCCTACCCTTAAGCTCTGAGAAAGGAGGTTACTCATTAGGTAGGATATCTGAACAAAAGACTCAAACACCATCTGTCCTGAAAGCTGACCCCAGAGCCCAGAGCCCAAGCGCTGTGTCAAAGAGCCTTGGAATGGTCACAGCCTACCTCTTTGGTGTCCCTTCAGTCTGGGGCAGAGGCAGCAGCACGTGGAGAAGAGACTGTAGGCTGAGCTGGGGCAAGTCTCTGCTGGCCATATAACAGACAGGGGGGGCGGTCCTAGGACTTTTCATGTATTTTATTGGGGAGTAGGGCCTAAAGGCTGGTTAGCCTGGTGGTTAAGGCCATGGGTTTTGGAGTCAGACCTGAAATTAAATCCTAGCTCTGCCACCTATTAGTTGTGTGATATTGAATACATTGTATATCTTCTCTGAACCTGTTTTCTTATCTGTAAAGCAAAATTAATGATCCCTACTTTTCAGAATTGAAAGAATTAAATGGGATATGTCAGTGCTTGACACAGAGTAAGCACACAGTATTTTACTCCATCCTCTTTATCTTTATGGGGGAGAACAGTATTATGGTCCCAATTTTCTAAAAGAGAAATCAGAGAAAGAAAAGAGTTTACCAAGATCTTACAACTAGAAAGAGGTGGAGCCAGGCATGGAATTTACAACCAGGGCTCTTTTGCTAGTGCTCCTCCTTCTTACGATACTGGAAGATGACAATCCCTGGACTAGGCAAGGACAGTACAGGAAAGCGTCCCTAAACCGTCAGAGCCCTCAGACTCCTGCTTAGACGGGCAGCCCAGCTGCAAATCAGCCACCAGTCAGACACCTCTCTCTTTCCTCCTTAGCCTAGGCCCTACACGTTTAGCAGGCCCCAACCAGAGGTACAACTCCAAACCAAGAGAAGAGGCTGAGAGACTGCAGGAGTCATGGAGCAGAAGGGAACCAAGCCAAGAGGTGCAGACAGCAGAGACCAATCTCCAGGCAGAGGCCACCTCAGCTCACAAAGGCCCACCCAGCCCCCTTCAGGCCCGCTGACCCTGCGGCTCCTGAGCTGGTGACTCAGTTTCTCTCCTGCCAAGCAGGTCTCAGACACATTTTCCCAGTGCACCTGCCTCCTGCCTCAGTTCTGATTATTTCCCGAAGACCGAGTGGTGGAGGGTGCAGGCTCCGCTCCTGGCTCGGACCCTCCGGGCCTGCTGGTCAATCCACTCCGACTTTACGCTACTCCCGGGACACCCCCTGCCCGCTCATTCCCCGGGGCCGCAGTCTCCTGGGAATAGCCCTGTCTGTTGCACTCGCTCCGGGGCCGCGCGCACCTCCTGCCCCGGCCCCCCCCCCCACCCCACGTTCTCCACCCAGGGCTCCTCTCAGGTGCCGAAGCCAGGTCCCGGAGAGGGAAAAGGTACTGGAAGGGGGGGTTCCGGTTCCGGTCCCACCTGCATCTCGGTCCCCGCGGTTAGCTCTGGCGGCGGCGGCGGTTCCCGCTCCCTCCCCCCACCTCTCCGCGACCAGCTCCCAGCCCGGTTCTGCGCAGGCGCCGGGACCCCTTTTCCCGTCACCGAAGGAAGAGACCATAGAGAAGAGAAGCGAGAGGGAAGGGCATCTTCATACTCACTTCCGCCATCCTTCTCCTCGGCGCCGACCCTGCAAGAGGCAAGAGCTGATGGGGTACGAGTCTCGTGGGACTTCAGTGACTTTCTCAGTTTTGCTGAAAAGTAACCACAGAAGCAGCCATGGGAAGGGGTTGGGTCCCACCAGAGCGTGCTCCCGAAGATTAGGGACAATAAAGAGAAGTCAACCATGGAGAAGCCACGTTAAGGGATAGAGTCCCAAAGCTCGGTTGAAGGCTAGAGTAGCCCTGGGGTGCCGGCAACCAGCGAGATGTTAAGGCTTTCTGGAGAGTCCCTTGCAGCCTAGAGCGCCCGGCCCGGCTACTGAAGGAGGAACGTGGACACCGCCCCCCAGGAGCTGGGCGAGGGAAGACGTGAGTGACCTTGGGGTGGCTCTGCGAGGAGGCGGAGTCTAAAATTGCGACCTTGGTTTCTCTGAGGAAAGAGGCAGGTGGTCGACGGAAAATAAAGATCGGGCCGGTTATGAGGTCAATTCTGGACGCGCTTGTGGAAACAACAGGAGGCCCATGGACGTAAAAGCCTGGGGCTCAGGAAAGACATCAAGGCCACATGTAGAAATCAAGAGTCCTTAAAGTATAGAGGATAATTGAAATCTTGAGCACGATGAGATCCTCTATCAACAGGGTCTCTCATTGATCCAGCTCCCACTGGCCTAAACAGTAAGAGAACCGTATTCAATCAAAGGAGTCCCTGGGTGGGGCAACTCTAGTGGAAGAAGTGTGTGTTTCGGAGATTTCCAGTTCTGACTTTAGCTGATTGGCTTGGATCAAGTGCCCAACCTGGAACACAGAGACAAGCAAACTCAAGAGCTGGAGATGGGTAGATGCCGACTCATAGAAGAATATTTGTTCAGAGCTAATGCCGCCCAGATGGATTGGGAAAAGCTTCATGGGGGAAGGCCAAGTTCTGACCTGCCCACTGGTAGTCCTCCAGCTCTCCCCTGCTCTACCAAACTGACTTCAGTTCAGAGATGGTCTTTGTTGATGTCTTCATGATCACCTGTCCATCCCTCTTTCCAGTTCAGAGGAGGATGTCACTGGGAAGGACTCTATTCCTGTGCCCCTCCCCTTTTCTCATCTTTGGAGAGGCACAGGTGAGGAATACAGAAAGGCAAGAGACTGGTGACGATGAGTTAGATTTTAGAGTGTTTTGTCTTAGCTATCCAATACAACTTTCTGCAATAATTGAAATATTCTGTATAAGCACTGCCCAATATGGTCGCCATTAGCCACATGTGGCTAGTGAGTGCTGGAAACGTGGCTTAGTGTGACTAAGGAAGTGAAGTTTTACTAATTAAAATTTAAATAGCCACATGTGGCTAGTGGCTACTGTACTGGGAGGTCCATGGGCCACCAAGTGGAGCTGTCTGGCAGAGATGGAGTTACGGTCTGAGCTGCACAAAGCAGTTTGGTAATCAGGTAAGAGTAGTGGTTGCAGCCATGGACATGAATGAGATCGTCCAGGTAGTATATGTAGAGAAGAGGCCCAGGACCTAATTCTGAAGAACAGTCAACTTTTTTTGGGGTGGGGAGGAGAGACAAGTAGGAAAGAAAGAGTAGTAGAAAGTGCTGAGGTGACATCTTGGGTCAGGTTTCCCAGAAGCACACTCTTAAATGAAGATTTGTGTGCAAGTGATTAAGAAAATGATACCATGGAACCAGTAAAGGGGTGGGAAAGCAGGAGCGGAAGCCAGGCAAGGTGTGATCTCAGGCAGTAGTGATCCCCCAGGGGAGCTCTGGATGTAAGTTATGCCTCAAGATCATTTGGAAACAAGGGAGCTGGGCCTTTCATACTCCGGCATCCCTCAGTCATTAACTAAAAGCTGCCCCACAGGAATGTCAATTCCCAGGTACTTCCACCAAAGCAAAAAAAAAAAAGCTCCGATGGCATAGTGCATAAGGCATTCAACTGCTAACCACAAGGTCAGAGATTCAAACCCACCAGCCCCTCTGAAGAAGGAAGATGGGGTGATATACTTCAGTAAAGATTTACAACCTTGGAAACCCAACGCAGGTCTCTGAGTCAGAATCAACTCGATGGCTTTCCCCCCCGCCCCCCATCAAGGCAAAGCCTCCAATAGTCTGAGGGCATTCCTTAAAAAAAAAAAAAATCTGGACTGTTCTGTTGAAAGTGAAACCACACACTAAAGACCTGGGGGTGTGAGTATAAGAGGTATGGGGGGATGGGCAAACACACAGATGATAAAAAGGGACTCTGGGCTGTGCACTGCCATTGTCTCCTACCAACCCCCCCCCCCCAAAAAAAAAACCACTATTGTGGAGTCAATTCTAACTCATAGTGACCCACTAGGATAAAGCAGAACTGTCCCACAGGGTTTCCAAGGCTGTAAATCCTTACGGAAGCAGACTGCCTCATGTTCCTCCTGTGGAACATCTGGTGGGTTTGAACCACCAACCTTTTTGTTATTAGCTGACTGCTTTAACCACTGTGCCACCATAGCTCCTCTATTGTGCTAAAACCAAACTCACTGCCATCAAGTGGAATCTTAACTCATAGTGACCCCTGCTTGGGTTTTCAAGGCATAATCTCTATGGAAGTAGATTGCCCAGTCTTCCTACTGAGGAGTGGCTGGTGGGTTTGAACCGCCAGCCTTCTGGTTAGCAGTCAAATGCCTTAGGCACTATGCCACCAAAGCTCCTTCTGTTGTGCTATATGGAAGGAATTACTGGCTAACAGATCACTGAGGGACCTTGATAAGAGTAATTTTAGGGAAGTGGACTGAGAAGTGAATGGAAAGTGAAGAGTGGGAGGAGGAATGTGGAGCGCTTGTCCACACAGACTGGCTGAAAAAAGAGAGATGCATATGGAGGTGGCACAACGGTTAAGTGCTTGGCTGCTAACTACGACACTAGCAGTTTGAACCCACCAACTGCTCTGCAGAAAAAAAAGACCTGGTGGTGGTTTGCTCCTGTAAAGCTTACAGACTATGGAACCCTATGGGGCAGGTTTTACTCTCTTATATGGTCAATAAAGGAACTCTGGTTGTGTAGTGGTTAAAGCATTTGGGTGCTAACCCGAGGTTTGGGGTTCAAACCCACCAGCTGCTCTGTGGAAGAAAGATGAGGCAGTCTGCTTCCTTAAGGATTTACAGCCTTGGAAATCCAATGGGGGTTCCTGAGTTGGAACTGATTCCATGGCACACACAACAGTTTGAGCGGAGGAAGGCTTGCTTATTATACCCTGAGGGAGACTTGAGTATGTTGGAAGTCTCAAGGGAAAAGAGCCAGTAGAAAGGGTAATAACTGATGGAGCAAGGTTCTGGGGAAGGTCGAAAGGCAGCTTTCTCAATAGCTGCAGCATATGAAACAGGTCTGGGCCACCCAAGGCCCATCCCTGAACCAATGACTTATAACCATAAGGGACCAATTATGCTGAGGTAAAAACACTGAATTGTGGACCCATAACCAGAGATAGGAATGGGCTCAGCTCCAACCAAACTTCATGGGCAGAGCATGGAGGAGAGTGGCTCTTCCAAGAAAAGCAGGGGTCTTTGACTGAAGGGCAGGTGGTTGCTCGTGGAATTGTTTTAGAAGTCATCTCGACTCTCTTCTATCCCCAAGAGACAAGAACTTCTATGTTGCTTTTTTCAGCGTTGGTACTTTGGCCTGGACCTCCTGCCCCTAAGATACCCCTGCTTCGTTCAGTAGTAGTTGTGTGCGTGTGTGTGTGTGTGTGTGTGCACGCGCTTTGGGTGAAAGTTTACAGAGCAGATTCATTTTCCATACAGCAGTTCATGACATTTTGTTTAGTGACATTGACTGCAATTCCCCACAACGTAACAGCTCTCTTCCTGTTTCTTCCCTGTAGTTATCTCTTCCGTGTCCTTCCTTCCTATGCATTCCTGACCCTGAGCTATATCATCCTGTGCAAATAGTGCCTTTCTGTTCTCCTATGATTGATCGTTCTAAGGAGTTTACCCACCTGGTGTAAATGTTCACCCTATATGCCTGTCTATTGTTTGGCTGGAAGCCACAGGAGTTCAATTCCAGACCTGAAGGGTAACCAGGGGCCATAGTCTGGGGGGTTTCACCAGGCTCTATAAGATGGGTAAAACTGGTCTTTTTTTTTTTTTTTTTTATGATTTTGAGTTTTGTTCCCTAGTTTTCTCCCACTCTATCCAGGATCTCCTGCACTGATCCCTTTCTGAGTGATTGACAGTGTAGCCGGGCACCATCTAGTTCTTCTGATCTCATGGTCATACAGGCTGAGGTTTGCATGGTCCACTAGTCCCTTGGACTAACAATTTCCATGTGTCTTTGGTTTTTTCATTCTTCTCCGAGAGCTACAAGAAGTCTGAAATATCATAGAATTCAACCTCTTCATCCCCATTTTATAGATAATAAATCTGAGGCCCAAAAAGTTAGTGACTCACCTTTATTTATAAAATGAGTATGAACCTAAATTTTGTTTTCCACTGAAAACTTCTCAAACTTAAAAAGCCCATAACAAATGCTCAACAGAAAAGATTCAACAAATTAATTCCTTGAGCAAATACTTGCTCACTTAAGTATTAAGAACTGTTCTTAAAAAAAAAAAAAAAAGTTCTTACTGCCATGAGCTGGTAAGACAGGGGGAAAAAAAAACAAGGAGCCCTGGTTGCGCAATGGTTAAGCACTTGGCTGTTAACAAAGTTGGTGGTTCAAACCCATCAGATGCTCCTTGGGAGAAATATGTGGCAATCTGCTTCTATAAAGATTATAGCTTAGGAAACCTTATGGGGTAGTTCTACTTTGTTCTATAGGGTTACTATGAGTC